TTCTCCTGGCTCTCTTTCCCCGGGCTCACTTCGGATTCTGTTGCTTTCTGTGGGGGGCTGTTTCTCTGTTTTCCGCGACCTGAGCGGGTTCTTGAGTGGAGGAGCTGGGGATTAAGAAATTAAAGGGAAAAAAAGAGACCAAGAGGCAGAAATAGATTCATTAAGCTGGGACCCGAGTGGGGGGGCTGTCACTCGGATGGAGAGACAGTCAACACCCGCCACAGACAACACAGCGCATTTATTTATTTCCAAAGGTATAAAGGGAGGTTTCCCTGAAAAGCTGAGAATCAAAGGAGTTTTGGGCGTGCTGGGTCCTATTCATTCCCGCATTCCTGTGATTTAGCATATCAAGACCTGGGTAAGTCAAGGTCCTATTTGTTTCTCATTCCAAGCACCTGGATAAAGATAAGAAATAAGTACTGTCTCTGACATTTTGGCTCGAGCGCCACACGCAGCTCTTTGGTCCCTTGAGTGTGGCTCTTCCACAAAATACCACGTGTGGATGCGCACAGCGTGAATGAAACTTCATGGCCCACGTGCAGAAATAGGTTTTCAGCTCTCAAAAAAAATTTCAATTGTTGTACTGTTGATATTTAGCTCTGTTGACTAACGAGTTTGCCAACCACTGCTTTAGGTTGATTGTTAAACTTTAATTCTAGCAGGATGGCCATACTTTCTCCTTTCTGATTGCTAAGGTGACTTTTTTTTTCTTGAGATTCAGAAAAACATATACAATTCCCCACAGTCCCAAAGAAATGCTTGAATGGGAAGACTGATTGTAAAAGATCTATTTCCTACAGGTCACCAGATCCTGATAGATTTGGAGTTTTAATGGAATCTTCAAGAAATCAAAGGCTCTTAAGTGTCAACGACCTCTAGCTGGAGACCCCCAGGAAGACCCCTGCAGTAAACCAAGTTGTACTTATGACTTGTTGCAGCGAGAACCATAGGAAAGCATCGGCTGTCACAGGACGCTGTTATAGGATTTGGGCTTTGGTTGGTGACAAAGGGGATTTGTACTTGATTGGATGCTGTCAGAAAGCTGGGACAACACTACGATTGAGCATCTTTTTAAAAAAAAAATATATTTTATTGATTTTTTACAGAGAGAAAGAGAGAGGGATTGAGAGTTAAAAACATCGATGAGAGAGAATCATTGATCAACTGCCTCTTGCACATTTCCCATTGGGGATGTGCCTGCAACCAAGGTACATGCCCTTGACCAGAACTGAACCTGGGACCTTTCAGTCCTCAGTCCGATGCTTTATCCACTGAGCCAAACCGGTTTCGGCAGATTGGGCATCTTAATGAATCTTACCTGTAGGGAGAAAGGTCTAGGAGGAGAATAAAGCTGGAAGAGCAAAGAGGTAGTAATCACGCATTTCAAATAATGGTTGTTTGGTATTTTATGGTTGGCAAAGTGATTTTGTTTTTGTCTGTGCTTAGGCAAACTTGTGGAGTGCTCTCTTTTGTCTTATTATTTTTTTTAAGCATAGTTTATTTATTTTTAGAGAGAAAGGAAGAAAAAGGGAGAGAGAATCACTGAGGTGAGAGCACAATATTGATCTGCATGTTTTCAGAATTTTCAGAATTTCAGGCCCTGTTTGAACTTGGTATCTCACGAAATTATCTCCATCTGATAGAATAATATGGCTTAGCTGTGGGTGCCAGGGCAGCTTCTGAATATCAGAAGCTTCTCTAATTAGTTTTTTCTACTTATTAGCTTCTCTTACTAGCCTCTGTCATTAGTTGTGCGGCCTTGGGCAAGTTGCTTAACCATTCTGTGCCGATTTCCGACTTCTTCTTCTTTTTTTTTTTAATATATTTTATTGATTTTTTTACAAAGAGGAAGGGAGAGAGAGTTAGAAACGTCGATGAGAGAAACATCGACCAGCTGCCTCCTGCACAACCCCCACCGGGGATGTGCCCGCAACCAATGTACACGCCCTTGACCAGAATCGAACCCGGGACCCCTCAGTCCGCAGACCACTGAGCCAAACCTGCTTCAGCTGATTTCCTACTTCTAACTGGAAATGACTACTTACCTTAAGTATAGTAGGAATGAAGTCCCCTAAACAGTAGAGGATTCAGTAAGTTATCGCTTTTCAGTTGCAAGAACTTGTTCATCAGACATCCCTAGGCTGGACTGTGAGTTCCCCGAGGACAGGGACTAAGAGTGGCACACCTGGATACTGTTAAAATTAACCTCAAAAGGAGACCAGACTTGAAAATTCCCTAGGCAGACCTTTAGGCATAGAAGAAAAGCTGTTAGCTTATTTTGCAAGGAAAACGAGGCTAACTTGACCTGATTCACTCTTTGCTTACACCTCTGAAAATCATAAGCAACATTTAAATTGTTCCCCCAAATTGAGATAGCCGCTAAGTAATCCTCTTTCATTTAAGAAATTTTTAATTATAACCAATCACTGTAACAAATAAGCAGTTATTGCCTCCACACTATGTAGACTATACTGAGTAGCCAGATTACCAATTGCAGGGTTGGCCCCTTCCTAAGCCTAAAGCCTCCACTCCAGGCTTTAGGTTTGGGAAGGGGTTTTCCCCCACCCCTGGCACCTCCAATCACGGCTTAGCCCCTTCTCAAGCCTAAGGCCTCTGCCCATTGGCCAGATGGGAGTGACTTGGGTGCCCAGGAGGTTCCTGGGACCCAGGTATGTATGCAAATTAACCAACATCTTTGTTGGGTTAATTTGCATACTCACATTGATTGGCTGTGGGCATAACGGAGGTATGGTCAATTTACATGTTTCTCTATTATTAGATAAGACTAGAGGCCTGGTGCACAAAAATTCGTGCAAGAGTTGGCCTTCCTTCTCCCAGCTGTGGCTGGGCTTCCCTCCTCTGGCCACTGACAGGCACTCGGGACCCTGGCTGGCTTCCCTCCAGTCCCAGTTTCATTAGGATGTCCGCAATGACATCCAGAAGATGGCCAGTATAATTAGCATATTACCCTTTTATTATTATAGATAGATATCTCTGAATCCCACTGTGTTTGAGAGCTCCACAACTTTTATTGATTAATGCTTAAGTGATTCATTGGTTTTACTCGTGTTTTTAATAAACTTTGACAATACTTAAGCAATGTTTGTTGAATCCTGATCCAAACTTTCTCATCTGCCTGCCTTTTCTCATTGTTCTCCCATCCTGTCTACCCTTCTCCTTTGCCCTCGGCAGAAAGCCTAATCCCAAAGGATTAATAACCAGTCTTCAGAGCCCTTTCTTTGTACCATTCTGATGGTGCTTATTACAGTGTTTTGAGTACTAACGGAATATGGTGTGTGTGTTTTAGGGCATAATAACTACTCAGTAATGTTAACTATTATATTATAATCACGTTACAGCTTTTGCATTTTTGTAAGTTCCTTGAGGACAGACTCTATTTTACTTCTTTGGTTTCACTTTACAGTGTCTGCAAAGCTCAGTGGCAAAGGGCTGAGGGGCTGGAGTCCCCATAAGGCCCTGAGAACTGGGGGGTTCCGCAGACTTGCAAAGGAGCCACTGACTCAACCAATCAGCCACACAGGTGGGCCAGGGAAAGCCCCACCATCTCCCAACTTTTCTTTTTTTATATATATATATATATTTTATTGACTTTTTACAGAGAGGAAGAGAGAGAGAGATAGAGAGCTAGAAACATCGATGAGAGAGAAACATTGACCAGTTGCCTCCGCACACCCCCCACCGGGGATGTGCCTGCAACCAATGTACATGCCCTTGACCGGAATCGAACCTGGGACCCCTCAGTCCACAGACCGACGCTCTACCACTGAGCCAAACCGGTTTCGGCCATCTCCCAACTTTCCATTCATTGCTCAAGTGAGAGCCTGCAGACTAAGTGTCCATGGAATGAGGAGGCGTTGGTTAGATAGAAAATATAGAGATTTATTCAAGGTTTCCACCAGAAATACACCTGGGCAGGAGAAAACAGAAAAGCTGAGGTTTTATAACCGTAAAAAAAGTACATTTTTTGAGAACCAGTTCTGCATTCTTAGCCTCTGGGTTGGCTCTAGATGGTGATCCTCGAACATCCTTTTGTTTGCTCTTCAGGGAGTTATCAGACATACATCTGAAAGTCTGATGTAGATGCCGGCGTTTTCGCAGGGCTGGGAAGTTCACAAGTTTCCGTTGGCAGGCCAGGTGAAAACAACAGCATCATTTCCTCATACCTCAATCAAAACTTGATTTTAGTAGTTTAGCAGCTTGACTACAGGCGCTCCGTTTTATTTCTTCAAGCCAAACTGTCCGACCGCAGATGCAGGGACCCCAGGCCTCTTTGGGGGGGAGACTGGGGCACAAAATCGGGGAGGCGGGCGCGCGGGCGGAACCTTAGTCCTCACCTCTGTTTCCCGCGACTCCACCCCGATGGCTACACTGCCCAACCGAGGGCTTCCTTCCCTTACTCCCGTGGCCCATTCAGAGCACGGTTCCGGAGTTTGAGACTAGCTTCAGCTGAAATGAGGAAGGACCACTTTCCCGAGCGGCGTCTCCCTAGCGCGGTCCCGCGAGTCCCACCCTCCGCCCCCAGAGAGGACGGCGCCGAGCCTGGAGCCGCGCACGTGACCCCCAGCTGCACCGAGCGGAGCCGGGCGCGTGCTCGTGCGCATGCTCGTGCGCGTGCTCAGCGTGCACGCCGCCCGCGCTCACGTCGCCCCGCCCCCGCCGCACGCCGCTTCCACTCCCGGACCGGCCGGCTGGCTGCGCTGCTGCCGGGTCTCCGCGCGGCTGGAGGGGCCCCCGCCACCCCCAGCCCACAGTTAGTCCCAGGAAGCGGGAGGGGACGGGGTCTGCAGGGGAGGGCCGCGGAGAGTGGCGGAACCTGCCCCGGACGCCCCGGGGAAGGAGGCAGAGTGAGGGGAGGGAGGGAGCGCGGAGGAAGTGAGCCGGGGTCCGACGCCAGCGCGGGCTCCGGTCGCGGACTGGACGGCCAGGCCCCCCACCCCGAGCCGGCGTGACTCCCGACCTAGAGAGGACCGAGCGGACACATGGCCTCTTCCTTCCTGTCCGCGGGGACCACCACGGGCGACAGCGGCGGAGAGCTGAGCTCGGGGGACGACTCCGGGGACGTGGAGTCCCTCCCGAGCCCCGAGAGCGGGGCGTCGCGGAGCCTGGCCGAGCTGTTCGAGAAGGCGGCCGCGCACCTGCAGAGCCTGGTTCACGTGGCCAGCAGGGAGCAGCTCCTGTACCTGTACGCCAGGTACAAGCAGGTAAGGTCGCAGGGAAGGGGAGGATGCGGGAGAGCGACGAGAGGCCTTCTCTTTCCAACAAAAACTAATAGCAAACGAGCATGGTAAATGCCTAGTAATGAAGTGTGTGTGTGTGTGTGTGTGTGTGTTTTGTTTGTTTCATCATCTCTTAAAGATTAGCATCATTACGGACATGGAAAGGTCCTGTCTGCTCTCCTAGGAGTGATGTTTGGCGGGACACTGAGTAACAGTTTTTCCTATGTCTTCGCTGACTTGCTCAGTGACTTTGCGGCACTCAAGCTTTTACCAGCTTTAGAACCGTTACAAAATGAGGATGACAAAATTAGATTTGTCAGTCACTCTTGCCAAAGGGTCATATGGATGTAAGGTTAAGAAAGTATTGTGAGACCCAAGAGAATAATATGATTGCAATAAAAAGGGTAATGCAATAGAAAAAAAGTATTATTTTATTGTGATAAAAAAAAAAAACAACCCTAAATACCGTAGACATGTTTTGACAGCATATGCTGAGAGAGTAGGTAACTTGCTTGAAGTCATACAGGTAAGACAGTCAGAACCAGAACTACCTTGTAGCTCCTAATCCTAAGACTCTGAACTTTACTAGGAAATAAAAATAATATTTAAGATATTTTAATATGTCATTCAGAGTTATTGGGTTAGGTATCAGAAGAAAAAATAATTGCTTTATCATAATCCACAAATACTCAGCATCTTTTATGTGCAAAACACTTGGGTGTTATGCCTACAGGGAATGCAAAGAAGCAAAAGCATCATGATACTTACCTTCAAGAGACTTAGAATTTACTTGAGTCTAGATTTAAAGTTGCTGACAAGCATTAAATAACAATTCAGAATCCAGTTCTTTAGAACACTGGAAGCAATGAAGTGCTGGATAATAGCCCATTTTATTTTATTAAAGTTTTAAAAACTTTTGCCTCTTGGTATCTATTTTTCCCTGTATTTTTTTTTAAATAGTTGTGAGGTCCCTCTGTATTCCTCAACTGAATATATTGAATATAGATAAACCCCTTTTTTTTTGAAGACTGATGAATATTAGTAAAATTAACCTGAGAGATACAGTTGTAGACACAGGTGGTATAAATCAGTGTTGAATGAAAATTGCCCCTGAATTGGCCTTGGAATTTGCTTTCTTGTAGAAGTTTTTTTTTTTTTTTTTTTTTTTTTTTTTTTTTTTTTTTTTTTTTTTTTTTTTTTTCTCTTTGGTTACTTACATTAAAGTAACATTACAAGGAGATTCACTATCTAATGATTTGGAAACTGCTACTTATGATGTCTTAAAATCCTATAGTTTTATTTTCTCAGTCTTTTCTGGATCCAGAACTGAATTTTGGGATACAAAAGCTCTATCAGTTGGGATACTGGTCAGCTGCTGGACTTTCAGTTCACATAATAGTCTGGAGGTAGTTAATTTAGGACTGGTACGGTGATTCTGCCTTATGAGATCATCCAGGGGCTTGGTCTTTTTCCATCTTGTAGCTCAGCCATTCCCTGAGGCAGCAGTTCTCAAATTATGGTCTGTGGACCCCAGAGAATACCTGAGGTTTTCTCAGAGGATCTGTAAGATCATAATCATACTCAGCCACTACTTACCTTCTTTCTGTGCTGTCATGGTGGATAAAACTGCTGATGCATTAGAATGAATGAAGACACTGACAGTCATACTACTAGTCATATTTTTTTGCCAACATGCACTCAAAGTAAAAAAAAAAAAAAAAAAAAAAGAAAAGAAAACTTTCACTTAAAAATGTCTTTGTTGAAGCAGTAAAAATTAGTGATTTTTATTAAATATGAACTCTGAGTATAAATCTCTAATATTGTGTGTGATGAAAAGGGGATACACACAAAGCTCTTGCTGCAGCCTGAATTATGTTGGCTATTTCAAGGAAAATTACTTAGTAATTTTTGAGTTGCAAACAGCTATCCACTTTTTAATTTAACGTTTTTACTGAATAGAACAACTCACAGATAAACTATGCTTATTCAGATGTGAGCATTTAGCAGAAAGTTTCTTGAAAATGATTGAAGTGAGTCTATCACTTTATCGAAAACAGCTGATGGTATTTGTTGCCAATGAGAACATTTGAGCCTGCAAGTGAAAATGAGGAGTTTGGAAAATCTGCCTCAGCAGCTTGACCGCTTCCTAAAACTAAAACACTTTTCTTATTATATTAGTGGTGGTTTTAATGATTGTGAACTTTTGCTATTGTATAGTGAAATGTGTCAACATTTGGAAGGTCTGCATAACTTAGTAACCATCTTTCCTGATTATTGCATGGAGTGATGTTACAAGTTATGTGTGGGTATAAAAACCTTTCAAAAGTGCAAGTCAGAACAATGGATTTTAAGATTCCAGATTGCAATTAACCTTAAAGAAACTGTCACTGAGTTTTGGTGTGGCATCAGAGACGAATATTCACAATTATCTGAAAATGCTGCTAAAATACCTTTCTTTTCTAGCAGCATATCTGTGTGAAGCTGAATTTTTTCATATACTTCAGTCTAAGCAACATGTGGCAGTATATTGAATGCAGAAGTAGATTTCTGAGATTATATTAAGGCAGACATTGAAGAGACTTGCAAAATGTAAAACAATGTCACCTTTTTTATTCTTTTTGCTTTAGATTGATGGTTATTTTTTATAAAATTTTGTTATGTTAACATATGAGTTTATTATTTTTAAGTGAATTAATACATATTTTTAAATGTCTTCTAAGAGGTGTTCAACAAAACACCTACTTTCCTTAATGCTAAATATCCAAACTGAGCCCAGTCTACTTCTCAGGGATCTTCTAAATATTAGTAGCTATAACCCACATAAACAAAAGCTCTTTGGGATCCTCAGTTTCTAAGAGTGTAAAGGGATCATGAGATTGAAAAGTTTGAGAACTGCTGCCCTAAGATCCTCTGTCCATGGCCAAAGATAGCTCACCATCAGCACAGGCATGATTTAGCCCAGGCAAAGGGAAAGGGAAGGTCAAGCCTTTTTTTTTCTTTTTAAGAAAGACATTTTTATAATTTTTACGCACAGTTAGTTCCTTGTGCCTGGACAAGAGTTGCATGGCTATATGTAATGTTTCAGTGGATGGACCATGTGTTTGGCTGAGACTTCTATTACTGTAGGAGAAATGGAGAATAGAAAATAGTTGTGTGTTTTTTTTGCATCTGGCTGAAGTCTGGTTAAAAAAAACAATAATAATGATGATAACTATTTTTATAATGTCCAGTAGTTAATCTCATTTAATATTTCTGTCATTTCAGTAGTTCAGTGGTTTTAGAGATGCCAGAACTGAAGCCTAGATTCTGTGTAACATATATAATAATGTTAATAGTAAAGGAATATTGGACTGTGGAGTCAAACAGTCCTGGATTCAAATCCTGACGGCTAATTAGCATTTCCTAATGTGTAGAGTGCAACAACCCTCCTCAGCTGCTCTGTACTCATTTATAAAAGGTGTTGAAATGGCAAACTAACGGGATTGTTGTGTGGCTCGTTTGATATAACATGGGAGGGGCCTTCTTACACCAAATACAGCTGCTACTCTCTCACCTCTGTGTCCCTTCATAACAGGGCTGTACACTTTAGTAACAATCGGATGAATTGTGTCAAACTGCTAAGCAAATGATAGGGCTGATAATTGTTATATTTCAGAGATGGATGGGATTATTGTGGACTGAAAGGGTTCTTAGAATCTAAACCTTGTGTAGGAGGTGTAGCATTTTGGAAAGATCAGGGAAGAAGGGAAAGCATTTGTGATGAGGGGAATTACATTGAGCAAAACTCAATAAAAATCCCTAAGGCAGTGAGTAGAACAGTCTGGTTAGCAAGTAGACCATCGTTTTGATTTTAGCAAAAATTCAAGTGTAGAAGAGTGATAGGAGTTAGTGAGAAGATCCCTGAGAAGTGGATTGGAGTCAGATTGGATATTTAGCATTAGGGAAAGTAGGTGTTTTGTTGAACACCTACTTAATATATTCACTCTGTAGTCAACAAGCTTGTTTACCTTAAGTTAGCCACTATATTAGGTGCAATGATTGAGTTATATCAACATACATTCAGTCCCCTGTGCCTGAGTTTCTTGCAGGCTATATTCTAATAGAAGGATGAGACTTTACACAAAACTTTCTAACACAAAATTAAAGTGAAAAGTACTGTCATAGATTGTATTATATGGAGTAAGTGCTGTGAGAGTTTATCAGAAAGGGAGATCACTCTGGCAATGGGAATCAGGGGCTGGATAGTGAATTCTGCTCTTGTGTGAAATTCATTAATATTTGTTCACAATGAAGCTAATTATTGCATAGTTTAATTGGATTAAAATAAGTATTGACCACAAACAGAAAAGATTATTGTGGAATAGATAGAATTTATATTGTTGAGAAATCCTTGTAATTTTTTGCACAGCTTCCAAAATAAATTTATATTAATTAGTTTCATTATAGGGCACTTTAAAAATAGTGTGTTTTATCCTGGAATTTGGGAGACATAAAATGCTATAGTGTTATGAGCATCAGTGTACTAGTAAATAAACAGTATTATGAATTGTGATAATTGTACTTTAATGTTTGTTTATTGCAAACTTTAAAATTGTTCTGTATTATAAGTAGTAATTAGTATTGCATAATCTATATAGTTTGTCATATATAATTTGTCTATTAACTTGGGAATGCAACTGTTTTTCACCCATATTTTTTAACATATATATTTTTTTAAAGTATATTTTATTGATTTTTTACAGAGAGGAAGAGAGAGGGATAGAGAGTGAGAAACATCGATCAGCTGCCTCTTGCACACCCCCTACTGGAGATGTGCCTGCAACCAAGGTACATGCCCTTGATTGGAATCGAACCCGGGACCTTTCAGTCCGCAGGTCGACACTCTATCCACTGAGCCAAACCGGTTTTGGCTTAACATATATTTTTATTGATTTTAGAGAGGAAGGGAGAGAGAGAGAATCATTGATTGGCTGCCTCTGCATGCCCCCTATTGGAGACTGAGCCTGCAACCTGGGCATGTGCCCTTGGCCAGAATTGAACCTGAGACCCTTTTGTCCACAGGCTGATGCTCTATCCACTGTACCAACCAGCTATGGCTTTCACCCATATTTTTAAGTGTATTATAGTATTAGATAAATTATTTCATGCAGTAAGCAAAACCAGCCTATATTTAAAGTTTGTTTTTGTTTGCTTTTGCAAAATGTTATATTTTGTTACCCTAAATCTGTGGTCAGCAAACTGCTGCTCGCGAGCCACATGTGGCTCTTTGGCCCTTGAGTGTGGCTCTCCCACAAAATACCACGGCCTGGACGAGTCTATTTTGAAGAAGTGGCATTAGAAGTTTAAAAAATTTGGCTCTCAAAAGAAATTTCATTTGTACTGTTGATATTTGGCTCTGTTAACTAATGAGTTTGCTGACCACTGTCCTATATAGATGCACATATTTTCTAACCAGTAGTGACTAAATACACATAATAACTTTGAAAATAAAAAAAGTTTCTGTGGCATTTCTTTGAAAAATAAGTTCTTGATTTCCTCCGTCTTCATTTAGGCCAAAGTTGGAAAATGCAATACTCCGAAACCAGGTTTCTTTGATTTTGAAGGAAAGCAAAAATGGTAAGAAATTATTGGATTTTATTGGGGTTGTTGGAAATGGTTTAGGTGTTTAGGAATTTGAAATGGATGAGCAGATTAAAGAATTATTTCTATATTAATCTCCCTGCTGTAGACTGCTAAGGGCAGGCAGTTGAGAGAGAGAGAGAGAGAGATTAAAAGAATCCGATCTTAGCTAAGTCTCCTAAAGGATTCTTATGCCATGATGTGGTATGTAAGTAGTTCACAACAGAAATTCATTCCTTACGTAAGAACAGCTTCTTAGTGACCATGTGAGCTCCCGCTGGAGATTTCCCTTTCCTTCATACAGGACCCACTTCTTCCTCTGAGAAGAGCAGGTGAATCCCCAGTCCTTACTCTTCTCCACATTTTGTTTTATCTCATCTCTAGTGCTCTTCTGTTCCTGGCCCCACCCAACACAGGAATCACCATAATCTTTTGGGAAAAAGGGGGGAAAAATTAGATGCTTACTTAGTTCACCCCTTTACTGAATATGTAAGAGGATTATACCCTCCCAGTTTTTTTGCTTATAATTCTGAGGTTCCAACCTCTTAGCATTTGAGGCCTTATTTCCTCTTACCTTTTCTAAATGAAAAAAGAGGAATTGCACATAATAGGAACCTTAGTTGTAGCAGGAAGAACTTGGAAGCATTAACCCTGGAATTAAATGTACAGAGGGTAGGGTTTTTAAAAAAAGAAATACCGTTGTAGAGAGAGGTGTTAAACAAGAATTGTAATTTTACTTTCTAGAGCAGTGCTGCTCAGAATGTGGTCTCCTGGACAGGTTGCTTGTCTGAACTGTCTGTTACCCAGCCAGAGAGGTAACTTGGCTTCAAGTTGAAGCCAAATGTAAATCCGTTACATTACGGCATCAAGCACACTGCTTGGTTCCGCTGACCTGTCTGTGTGTGTAGGATATCTCAGTGAAGTACACGGCGCTTTGATTTTCATTCCGGCCCAAGGTTTTTTTGCTGATGATAATGAGTAGTTCTCCGACTGCGCTTTATTACTGTTGTAGAGAATACCTGACAGAAATTGTATTATGAGGTGTGCTTTTTAAAGATGTTTTGACAATTTATAACTTTGTTATTTTTCTGTTTTAACTTTTAAAAATAATTTTACAAAGTTTACATTTTTAAAAAATATATTTTATTGATTTTTTACAGAGCGGAAGAGAGAGAGATAGAGAGTTAGAAACATCAATGAAAGAGTCATCCATCAGCTGCCTCTTGCACACCCCCTACTGGGGATGTGCCTGCAACCAAGGTACATGTCCTTGACCGGAATCGAACCTGGGACCTTTCAGTCCACAGGCTGACGCTCTATCCACTGCGCAAAACCGGTCTCCACCAAAGTTTACATTTTATAACCACTCTGATAAAATTCAGGCAAGAATCTAAATTGGATGCTAAAACCAGGAGATGAAAAACTATTGGGGAGCAATTTTTATTCATACTTACCCACAATTTATTAATTATAAAGAAGAAAACAGGAGATAACTGCCTTTACTAAGTCCTCAGTCTTATCACCAATGATGGGACAATCTGATATTGTGCCCTCTGACGGAGTGCATTGTAAAGGACATGTCACCCATGTATTGCTCTTGACAAAATATTTAACCTTATTCTAATAATGATTAATTGCTTTTGCCATGAACACTCTTTGGTGAGGGAGCAATCAGATAAGTCCAAATGGAGGGATATTTTATAAAATAGCACATTTGGAGTCTTAAAAATATCAATGTCATGGAAGACAGAAATGCTAAAGATACATGAAACTCAATGCTGTGTATGAATCTTGATTGATTCCTAGTCTAGGAGAAGAAAGCTATGAAGGAAATTATTGGCAAATCAGAAATTTTATTGCATTGATGTTAAATTTCCTGTTTGATATATGCTGGTGTATTTATGGGTAAAGTGTTAGGATGTATACAAGGAACACTCAAGAGATTCAGTGAAAATATAAATTTAGAAATCTCAGAAAGGTATTATATTCATCGGAGGAGCAGGAAAGTGTTTAGAAAATGTGTGGGTTCTGACTCACAGTGGATCAATAGGTTTACTTCCTGGTGGAAGTAAAATCGGCAAGGAAAAACCAAGAAGGAGCCTGTTTTGGCAGCTTGCAGGAAAAAAAAAAAAAACTAAAATATTACTCTGGGCTTAAATATTACTCTTGGTATTTATACTTAGGAAGTCCCTACCTTCTTACCCATTTGTGTTTTCTTAACTCTGTCCTCACCAGCCCTCACTTTTGAAGTTTCTGCAGAGGCCTTAGGATCCATGACTAGCAGATTAGATAATAGCAAAGGGGGAGGTGTACTTTTTACATCTTAAATAAGAGGTTTGAGGCATTTTTCCAAGGAATGTTGTTTTGTGTGATGATTAGTTTCCATGTTACCGAAATGCTGTTAGCACAGTTAGGTTATAAAATGACCAATATACTGACCAAACATTTTCAACAGGGGTGTGAAAGTTTGTTTTGGAAAGTTATAAAATCTTAGATATTACAGTGGTTTGTGGTCTTACAAAATTCAACAGATAAGCAATATATCTGGAATACTAAGATTTGATGGGAGAAGGTGATTAGAAAAAATTGTGTAAAAGGTCTTAGGTGTGGTGAGAAGATCTGTGTAGACTAATGTAAATATAAAAAGAGAGGCTCATCTATGGCTATTATGTCTGTATCCCCAGACCTGTAAAATGTGTATGCTAATTTTTTAAATAAAGAGAAACATGCTATTTGTGCTACTTACATACTTAATGATGGGTTCTTTGGGATATTCTAGGGAAGCATGGAAAGCACTTGGTGATGCCAGCCCGAGTCAAGCAATGCAGGAGTATATTGCAGCAGTTAAAAAATTAGATCCAGGTTGGAATACTCAGGTAAGACTTAATGATTATAAAAACATACCTTTCTCTCAAATAAGTGTTTAAACTTATGCTTAAGTACATTCTTAAAGTTTTACCTTCTCAAATCAGTGTACAACAGTTCTTTCTCAAAGTCAGGAATGTTAACATTGATTAGGTATTATTGGCAAACTAATAGTTCATATTCAAATTTATCATCTAACTAAAGATGTTCTTTGTAATTATTTTTTAAAATTGTGATTCATCATGCAATTCAGGATCATGCATATCTTCCAGTGGTCCTGTCTCTTTAATTTCCTTTAATCTAGAGCAATTTCTCAACTTTTCTTTTTCTTCCTTGATTGTGATATTTTTTAAGAATATAGATCAGTCATTTTGTAGAATGTCTCTTATTTTGGGTTTGTCTGATGTTTCTTCATAATTAGATTCAGATAATATATTTTTAGGGGGGATACCACAAAATGTCTCTCTCTCAGTACATTATACCAAGAGAAACATGATGTTTCTTTGTCCCAGTGTTGATTATGTTAACTTTGACCACTTGCCTAAGGTGGTATCTGCCAGATTTCTCTAATGTAAAGTCCCCATTTTTCCTTTGTAATTAGTAAATAATTTGTGGTGAGATAACTTTGAGACTACTATGTAAGTATCCTTTTCCTAATCAGATTTCACCTGCTAGGTTTTCGATTTATATATATTTAATTTCAGAGAGGAAGGGAGAGAGAGAAACATAAATGATGAGAGAGAATCATTGATTGGCTGTCTTCTGCATGCCCCCTATTGGGGATCAAGCCTGCAACCCGGGCATGTGCCCTTGACTGAAATTGAACCCTTCATTTTGACCCTTCAGTCTGCAAGCCAGTGCTCTATCCACTGAGCCAAACCAGCTGGGGTTCACCCACTAGTTTTAATATCCATTAATGATGTTCTAACTCCATCATTTATTCTACATTTGTTATTTGCCACCCACTATAAGGATGGGCTTTCCCTGCTCCCCCATTTATTTATTTATTCATTGTTAAGAACTGTGAAAGGTTTAGGATTGTACCCTACTTGCAAGCTAATAAGTTAGCCTGTTACTGTTTCTTAGATGATGGCAGAGGTACAACACTCTTTGGTCTGAGCCAAAGGACTTTATTATTCATGGCATGGCAAATTGCATGAGCTTCATTTGCTTTGCATTGGTTTCTCAAGTCCCCCGATTCCACCAGAATGACGCAGGTGGGCCTAGATAGATTCCTGTAGATGCAGTGGGTTGTGCTCTAAGGATGGAACACTGAGCTTTGAGAATTCACCACTTTTATAGCAGGTGGAAGCAAGCCTGTTCTCTGGCAGAGGTTGGGAAGACATTACCTCTTCCCTGAAGGTGGCTCACTGCACACAATTCTGAGAAATGGCTCAGGTGAAGAGTGGTTAGAGCCTGGCATACTAAACAAGAGTGCATAAGGACACTTATGGTCCATGGTTTATTGCCTCTCCCAACACTCATGTAGTATTTATATCAGTGTGTATTCATGGATTTTTATTTTATTCAGTGGGTTATTATTTATTACCACCATTATTTATTTGGCCTCTAGGAACCCCTTCACAATGGCTCCTGTGTCCTTTTGATATATCCCCATCATTCTTTGAGCATTTTCTTTCTGGCACAAGGTATTTCAAGATGTATTAGTTTCCTACAATTGCCATAGGAAAGAATTACAAACTGGTACTTCGTAGTTTAAAACAACAGAAATTTACTCTCTCACTGTTCTGGAGGTAGAGGTCTGAAATCAAGGTCTGGCAGAGCCAGGCTTTCTTTGAGGGTTCTAGGGAAGAGTCCTTCCTTGCCTTGACCAGCTTCTGGTCACCTCAGGTATTCCTTAGCTTGTGGCAGTGTAACTCCAATCTCTGTCACTGTCTTCACATGGCCTTCTTCCCTGTGTGTCTATATTTAATCTCCCTCTTTTTTCTCTCATGTAGACATAACCCCCCTTCCCCTTAGACCACATATTAACTTTTTCTTCTTCAGCTTTATTGAGATAACGGAGTTTCATATTGAACCAAATATAAAATGAGGCCTTTGTCCCTTTTTTTGGTCATTTAAGGTATTATTGATCTTATTTACTCATTCATTCTATTCATTAATTGTACACTTGCATATGCAATTTTTTTTTTGCATATGCAATTTATATCTCTTTAGAACTAGTGCTACAGCAGTGAACAAAAAAGAACCTTCCCTGTTCTTAAGAAGCTTGTAGTCTGGCAGGCATGAGCAATTAAATAAGTAAGTAGGTGTTACAATGTATTAGAAGGTGATTAGTGCTATGGAAATTAAGCAAAAGAAAAGGTTAGGATGTACAAGAGGTGGGGTTTTAAATCAGATGGTCAATGAAGGCTCATTGAAAAGGTGCCATTGAGCATGCATTTGAGATAGTGAAAGAGTGAACCACACAGATATCTGGGGAAGAGCATTGCTTATAGAAAAAAACAGCCAGTGCATGTCACTCAAGCAGGCTCATGCCTGGTATGCTCTGGAAACTGCAAGGTGGACTGAATGGTATATGGTGATGTGGCAGTGGGGCAGAGAAATAGGAAACGAGGTAGGATGGAGCACATGGAATAGCCTATTATAAGGATTATGGCTTTTACTCCCAATGACAAGGGAAACACTCCGATTTTTAAGTTATAAAAGATACAGTATTCTACGTTGTCCAGTAAATATTTTTTTTTTAAATATATTTTATTGATTTTACACAGAGAGGAATTGAGAGGGACAGAGAGTTAGAAATGTCGATGAGAGAGAAACGTTGACCAGCTGCCTCCTGCACACCCCCACTGGGGATGTGCCCGCAACCAAGGTACATGCCCTTGACCGGAATCGAACCTGGGACCCTTCAGTCCGCAGGCCGACGCTCTATCCACTGAGCCAAACCGGTCCTGGCCGTTGTCCAGTAAATATTTTAATGAAAGTACTATAGGCATATGGAAATAATTCCAACAGAATGAAAGAATATAAAATGAAAGTTTATAAAGTTTCTTGCCCCATATTGTTATTATATACTATTTTTATTTTTTATATATATTTTTAAAATATATTTTATTGATTTTTTTGTACAGAGAGCAAGGGAGAGAGGTAGAGAGTTAGAAACATCGATGAGAGAGAATCATCGATCAGTTGCCTCTTGCACACTCCCTACTGGGGATATGCCCGCAACCAAGGTACATGCCCTTGACCGGAATCGAACCCGGGTCCCTTCAGTCCCCAAGCCAACGCTCTATCCATTGAGCCAAACCGGTTTCGGCTATATACTATTTTTAGAACTACTCTCCACTTGTGACTGTTTCTGTAATTCTGAATTGCTACATCTGTAACACTAAACTCTAAATTCTTCCTATTAAAGAAATACTTTTTATAAATAGAACATTTGTCTGACGTATTATATAAATGAGGGTTAACTTGGGTAGTTCCTACAGTTTCATTTCTGTTTACCCTCTTCCTCAACAATTTCAACTGGTGTCCTGCAAGAATTTTTAAAACATGCAATACCTGACTAGTCAGGGCCACTTTGACTTCTTTTTCCTTTTATTGTGAAATTAAAAATGCTAACAGCCAACATAACAATAGCCATCTGGTATGAATGCCCTATCTTAAACCATAAATATATCCTATATAATAAAAGCCTAATACGCTAAGTGTCCAGTTGTCCATTCAACCAATCAAAGTATAATTTGCTAATGATATACTAAGGCTGCTCAACTGCTTGCTATGACATGCACTGACCACCAGGGGGCAAATGCTCCGACTGGTAGTTAGCTTGCTGCTGGGGTCCTGCTGAATGGGACTAAGTGAGATGGGCTGGACACGCTCTGGAGCCCTCCTGCAGATCCTCCCTGGCCCCGATCATGCACCAGTGGCATCTCTTGGCCTGGCCTGTGCTCTCTCACAATCCGAGAACCCTCGGGGATGTCAGAAATCTGGTTTCAGCTTGATCCTGCAGGCCAGGCCGAGGGACCCCACTGGTGCAAGAATTCGTGCACTGGGCCTATATAATAGAATTGCATCTTGGTTATGTTGTATAAGTTTGCATATGATTGGTTAATTCTGGGTGTCAAAATCTTATGTATAAGTATAGGCACCTGCTTTTTTTTTTAACAAGTCACTTTGGAGCCAAAAGAGTGGTTAATTGCTATTATCTTTTTTATTTTGGTAAATGAATCAAAATTATACCTATTATTTTGTGTCAGATTAGCAAAAAAGTATGGTATATTTTTTAGTGTGCCACAGAATTTGAGTAATTTGTTTATGTATGCCATGAGATGAAAAAGGTTGGAAATCGCTGCTTTACCTCCATTTCTACTCACATCTGTAAAACCTCTTATGACCACTAGAGGGAGTAAAGTTCATTATAAAAAAGAAGGATTTCATTCTTAGGAATTCTAGGGCCTTCTGTGTGTTTCAATAGTATTGTTAATACCTTGGTTCTCACTGACTAGTGTCTTACTCACCCCCCTTTTTTTTAATCCCTTAGATCTTTAAAATTTATATATTTACATGGGATCTTATTAGTAACTTTATTTCTCTTCATTTTACTGCTCTGATAACTCTTAGACCAGCATCATTATATTATATTTGTGTATTGTTAGTGAAGGTAAATAGTATAAATGGGAGAACTCACATTTTTGTTCCGATAGCCAAATAAGTGGTTTTAGTTATCCAGTAGCCATCTGGCCTTTTTGTAAAACCTGAGCTATGCATCATTGTCAGGTTATCTTTTACCTATAAAAAGTCATTGAATATCAGAGTAGATAAATTCATACATGTAGTGTATTTACCTATAAAGCTAGTCATAACTTTTGAAATTTCTATTTTAAAAATAGATAGGTTTTTTTGCCCAGAAAATGATCTTTGATTTTGTTCTCATCATTCAGATTTAATTTTTGTCACCTATCAGGTATTAGTATTGAATTGGGTTCCTTTTCACTAGCTGCCTTATGCTAGAGATTTATTCTTTAAGGTACATTTTTCTCATGTA